TTCAAAGATAGGGCTTCTTACCAAATCAATGGTAAGATAGCAATATCAAAGGAAAGGAGGAAATGAACTAAGACTTTTGAGTAGGTAGATTGTTCCTAGTTGGTTGCTCAATTTCAAATCAAATACTCTTGCTTATTTTCAAAAACAAACACCAACACTTTCAAAAAAACACTTTCAAAACACTTTCCAAAATTGGAACATTTTCAAAAGATCAACATTTTGTATACGTTCTTACGAACGAGAACTATTACAAAGTTTGCTTAAATGATGGCACCTTTTCAAAATACTTTCAAAAAACCACACAAAGCATATTTTCAAACAAAAGCAAGTGATCTAGCAAGAAACTAAGAGCCCATAGATAACTATGGATGAAAAAGGTGCTAACACCTTTCCTTTTACTAATCTACCCCTGAAACTCATGAAATAATCTCAAAGGTCTTTCCTATTCTTTTCAACCTTTCCTTTTGAATAAAAGAAAAGTCGGCGGCGACTCTTGCTAACTGCAACGTTTGTGATAAAACGCAAAAACAACCAAGTCAGTTCTCCCACCGTATCACAAGGTCACTTATTCATTATCGGTGACAAAGATAATTAACTGCATAAAGAAGGCGGGCATGGTGGAGCAACCCTTTCTCACTTAAATCGTGAGAGGGATATTTGTAGGATGGATTCACTCTTAAAGTGGGCCCCATCATTTATTTAGGACAAGAAAAAGAGAAAAAGAAAAAGAAAGTTTATTTTATGGAATTGTTTTACTTAGGTCAAACCAAATTGGCATGTATTTAAAAGGGATTTCTTAATCCTAAACAATACAACAAATAAGCAACTTAATAAGGGTTTCATAGAACTACAATAGAGAAGAGGAAAATGCACAAATGATAGATCAGTAGAGCAAACTTAATTAATTTGAGCTATAAATTCAATATGTTGTCCATGTTACTTAGTTAATTTTATTTATATTTCTGTTGGGTAGTTTTAGCTTCCCTTAGAGTTATTTTTTGTATACTCACATTTTGTGGAGGAGTTATTTGGAGTGTGTTTCCCACCTTTTATTATTTATCAGAGAAGATTTTTATTTCCTAATTGTAATCGGTGGAAGAACTGACTTGGGTGTTTTGCGTTTTATCGCAATTATTGCGGAAGTCGCCACCGATTTTTCTTTTATCCAATAAGGAAAGTATAAAAAGAACAGGAAAGACCTTTGAGAGTATTTACTTGAGTTCGGGGGGTAGGTTATGAAAGAGGAATGTTTTAGCATCTTTTTCATCCGTAGTTATCTACGGGCTCTTAGTTGCTTGCTAGATCACTTGTTTTTGTTTGAAAATGTGCTTGTGGTGTGGCTTTTGAAAGTATTTTGAAAACTTCTTTGTAATGATTCTCGTTTCTATAAGAACGCGTACAAAGTGTTGGTTTTGAAAATTGTTCAAAGAGGTGTTTGTGGAATGTGTTTTTGAAAGTGATTTTGAAAAGTGTCTTTGTAATGATTCTCGTTTCTATAAGAATGCGTACAAAGAGCTTTATCTTTTGATAATGTTTCAATTGAAAGTGTTGGTGCAGAAAAATGTTTTTGTTGTGAACAAGCGAGCAACTATGAGCATCCTACCTACTCAAAAGGTCTTTATTCTTTTCCTCCTCCTTTAGATGTTTCTATCTTACCATGGATTTGGTAAGAAGCCCCATCGTTGGATGTGAAGGGACGGGCGTGGGACGTTTGTATAGTCATAGAAGGCAACCTATGAGACGTTTTAGCAATATAGTTTAAGGACTAGATCGTTTACTGAAGGCAACATCGAGGATCATCGAGGGACTACGATCTTTTATCGAGAGTCTTTGCTAAAACGCCCATATTCGAGTGATATGACTATTTTTCCGAGGCAACAAATGAGATTACCCTAAGGGTGCATGTGTGTGAATAATGTGTTTGATTTACATGCATTTAGTCTTTGATTATGGTTGTCTACTTGTTGGTTTTATCTTGTCATACATCCTAATTACTAACATTTGTACAAAAGCAATAAAATGCATAAAATAAATCATACACTATTACAACCATATTGAATAGCAAGAAAATGTAAAGACAAAACAAAATAAAAGGAGGAAAAATGAGCTTTCGATCTAGGTAGAAACACCCTTCAATTATTCTTCTCTGACTCCTTTCGATTTGGGCTCAGCATGAAGCATGAGATGCATCCTTCGATTATGCCTTTTTTCTTCTTTCGATTGCAGGAATGTTAGGGTGAGCAAGTAAGCTTCGACCATGCCCTTTGTCCTTCTTTTGATTGAGGCCTTAGAGTCAATGTGGACATCCTTCTGGCTGCCTCTTTCGATTGAGGCCTGGGAGTCAATATGGACATCCTTCTGGCCACTTCTTTCGATTGAGCTTAGCAGTTAGCGTGAGAGGCAGCCTTAAATTCCTCCTTATGGCTGCTGCTTTCAACTGGGCCAGGGAATCAGTGTGAACACATTTCTTTTCTCCCTTCTTGCTCCTTCGTTTGGACTGTGAAGCGGTAAGGGGGTGAAGCCTGAGGCTTCATTTCACACAAAAAATCCTTCTTTCGTTTGGAGCTTATACTGGTTAGTTCTACCATATATTTGACAAGAAAACAAACGAAAAGGGAAGAAACGAAAAGTAAACAAATGTCATGTACATGCTTGAAACGAAAGAAATGACTATTCACATGTTATGCTAGAAACGAACGGTTCAAGGTTAAGAGAAACTTGTCTTGCTTGAAGCTGGAACGTATGTGCTGGACCTTGAGTGGCTGCCCTGAGTGTCCTTGGATTTGAAGGAAAGAAACAAGGGTAATGTTTTTAGTGTTGGATTTGAAAGAAGGAACCAAGTGTTGAGTTGGTGTTTCACTGAGTTTTGGATTCGAAGGGAAGAAACAAGTGTATTGTTTCGTTTTACTCTGGGTTTGAATATGTGTTTAAGTGTTTGAGAGTTTTAGGATAATTTGAGAGTTTTATGAATTTTTTTCTCCACGCTCCAAAGTCCTCTGGATGTGTTGTCCAGCCCCTTATACATGTTATGGAGCTTCTTATTTATAGGTGAATGTTGATTGAGGTTTAGGAGAAAAAACAAAACAATTTGAACAAAATGGGTAAACTGTTTTTGTAGTTTTCGAGGGGCAGTGTTCGTATGCCAAATTGGTGCAAGAATAGGGGCAGTGTTTCAGGACTGCTGGGAAGCAGTTTTGGAGCGTTATGGCTAGTGTATCAGGCCTGAACTTGGCAGCAAGCGTCTTTTGATATCTCCACCTTTCGTTTTGACCACCTTCGACTGGATCCTTCTTCAAGCAATATTATTTGATTTTCATCCAACAAGTGTCTTTCGAATGGGCTCTTTTTGTGCATCCTTCGAAGAAGCCAAATGTGTGCCCCTCGAATGGGTCACCAAAGTATGTCTTAAGGTATGTCTTGCAAGTCCTTCGAATGGACCATCAAACATGTCCTTCGAATGGGACACCTAGACATATCTTTTGAATAGGTCATGTGGGTATCTTTGAAAGGGCCAAATATGTACCCTTTGATTGGACTATATGTGTGTCCTTCGAAGGGATCAAATGCAATTCTTCAAATGGGCTAGTAAAGTATATCTTTCGAAAGGGACCCCTATGTATGCCCTTCAAATCCACCAATACATGTCCTTTGAAGGAGCCACCAACCATGTGTGCTGAAGGTTTTCAAGGGTGGAATCGAAGCAAAATATTTCAAAGGGAAATATTGTCCAATCAAAGCTAGTGTAAATATAGTCAATGCCATGTCGAAGCCTGCATGCAGGAGGCCACTACTTTGTGACTCCAAGCAAGCATACAAGAGGTCATTGCTCAAACGAAGGTTTGCATGAAGAGTCAATGCCCTGTCAAAGCCTGCATGTAGGAGGCCACTACTTTGTGACTCAAGGCAAACATGTAAGGGACCAATGGTGCAATCGAAGCTTGCGTGCATGAGGGTTCGAAGCAAGCTTAGAGGTGAATTCGAAGCATGCATGAAGGTTGATTCGAGGCAGTTTTGAAGGTGGATTCGAAGCAGGTTGCTTTTGAAGGAAATCAATGCCCGAAACGAATGATGACTCAAGCTTGCTCGAAGGAAGCCTAGATGCCCAATCGAAGGGTGTGAATTCGAAGCAAACTTGTTCTTCTTTGACTTGTCAAAAGGCATATTAACATCTTCATTTTTCTTTTCCTTCGACCAGTCGAAGTAACAGCTTACCATCTTCAAAGAAAATCATTTTCTTCATTTCTTCAAACAGGTGTTTGTAACCACACATGCGAGAGAAATCTTGAAAAATGAGAGGGTAAATTTTAGGATACAACACTAATGTTATTACGTTATTATGAAGACTTTTATATGCCCATTATTGATATAGTAAAAGATTTTACTGAATTAGATTTCGTAGTTTTTATTTTCTCATTTTGAGAGAAGTTTTTCATGCTAAAAATTTATTGTTTTAATTTTCGGTTATATTATTGTGCTATGGAATTAGTTATGCTAGACTGTTAATTGTCTATTAAAATTGAACATGTTCGGGGAAGTATTTCGCTTGAAAAATATTCCAATTATTTTGATTATTTCCCAACATTAACAAATAAACAGTTCCAAATAAAGAGCAAGGAAAATATTTAAATGACTGTACAAAAATGAAATTTCAGTAACAAACAAGAACACTCTTCTATTCTTTACAAAAGAAAACAGCTCCCATCCTATAAATAACTCTCTAATATATACAGTAACTGCTTCTATATGCAAAAGACAAAAAGGTATATGAAACCTATGTAACCTTAAAAAAGGCCAAATCAGATATCAGTTTTATTTTTCTTTCCAACATCAAAGACAAATGTTGGTTCCATGCACCATACTATCATCTTCTGGTTGAGATGAGCCATCAAGCAATTCGATGACTATGTGCAAAGAGACATAAACACTTTCACAAAGCTGTACCCAAAAACTACATGAGTTGATGGAATCAACACTCTACGGTTAATAATAGTTTTATCTGATTATTGGTTAGCCTTGGCCACTAAGCGAGCTGTTGAATCAAAAGACGTTTGCTGCAACAATCTTGTCTGCACCATATCACAGTACTCGGGATCCTCAGTCTTCCCATCATATCTTATCCACTGTACTATTTCGTGATGCATCGGAAAGAACCGCATTTGAATTGCTTTGTATGAGAAGTATGGCATTAGGGTTGTGATCACCACAAAGAATGTTAATATCCAATAGGAAGGCGAAGGAGCAAGAGTTTCAACAAAGACTTTGTAAGCATTTTCCGAAAACTTTTGAGGCAATGCTCCATATATTAGGAGAAAAATGTACCAGAAAAATATGGAACCCCAGATGAAAAAATGTTGGATCAAGGTGAAGTAACTTATAGCTACTGCCATTTGCAAGTTTACAACCCAAACTACACAAGAGCACATGGTTGTTCCTAGTATATCTCTTCCGGCAGTTCTTCCCTCTGAATCGAAGGCTTGTACCTCCATTGCCTTTGTGCAGAAGAAGAAAATTAATAAAGCGCTAAAGAATCCGTTAAGCATCCAGCTGAGCACTCGACGCCAGCTGAAAAGGACATTTTGTACTCCTTCTTGATATAACAAAGGAAACTTGAGGCAGTACCGAGCAGATACGTCTTGGTCAAATACACCGAGAGCAATCACGGGAAGTGATGAAAAAAAGACATTATAGAGAGCTAAAAACCAGTCGTTGTATGCAGGTTCTCCTGAGAATGATGCATACACCTCATACAAGAATAGAGTGAAACCAAATGTGATGTTCTTGTAGAAAAAATAGCATATCTGTCGAAAGAACAATTAACAAGTTAACCGGATAAGAAAAAATCAGAGAGCTTCTCTAGAATCTAGAGATCCAATTATAGGCACAGTAATATTAATACCATCGTTGAGATCCTTCGGTAACACCAATGCCCATGCACCAGGAGTAATCGTTCCAAATATCGGAATTGTGCAATTGCAATGTCACTAGACATAACAGCCTGTGGGATTAGGAGGGAAAAAAAGAAAATGTTGTTTAGAATACATGTAAAAGTAAATATGAATTAAATAAAAGCATGAATATTGTGTGAATTTTTGCCGCACCTGCATTCCTTCGACGCCACTTATACCAACCCCGATATCAGCTTCTTGAAGCATTCCAACATCATTAGCTCCATCGCCAATAGCTAACGTTGTTTTACCAGTTCCAGATTTGACTAATCTAGTGACCTTTAAGAGAAAAACTAGACAAATTATTGAGGAAATAGCCCAAATTATTGTCACCGATACCGGTAATAATTTTAGGAAATACAACAAATTTCTAATAGGTGACTAGATTTCTTTATCAGGATCAATAGAAAATAAACACAGGATAGATTGAAAAATACCAGTGCCTTCTGCTTTGGCGATGACCGACAGCAAATAACAGACGCACAACGAATGGCAAGTTCCAGGAACATGTTCTTCATATCATCCTCAAGTGCATAAGCAAGTGATTTACCATCAATTACTAGAGCAAATGCCTGCTGAGAGTTCCCTTTGTGTGCAGTAAGCTGCGCAGCACCTTCACGTATTTGAAATAGGACACTCTGCCTTGATGCCTAAAAGATGAATCAGTGAAAAAATATCAGAAATTCGGAATACAAATTTCAAACTCTAAGCAGCATCATCACTATAACATTAACTCTCCATGTAATTCTTAATATCACTTTCCCAAAGTGTTTTGTTCTGAAAACCAGAATGGAATGGAAGTTCAAAATGTCAGCAATATAAAGATGATTAAGCTACCGTGTTGACTACAAGATGTGTTATTGGAATATTGCGATGTTGAAGAGAATCAAGCTTTCTGAAACTACACATTATACTCTACATACAAGCTACACTATAGTAGATAAAAACTATATTAAGGCCTATTTGGATTGACTTATTTGAGTTTTTCTAATGACAGAGTGTTCATAAGTTGTTTTTATTATAGGAATAGCTTATAGCTTATATAAAAACAATTTGACTTTATTTATCTTTTAATTATAGGAATAGCTTATACACAAGAACTTATATGATAGACAGTTATGCTATAAGCATTTAATTAATTAAGTTGTTTATCCAAATAGGGCCTAAGAAATGAAAAAAAGATTACTTTGGTAATAGCTCTCTTGTCACCATCTTTCTCCAATGCTTGAATTTCTGGACTATCCAAATGAATTATAATCTGTTTCATTCCTTGTCTAAGCAAACTACAAGCAAACCTACAACGGAGTATTCACATCAGTTAACTTGAAATAAAATTTTAATAGGGTGAAGCCTATGTGGCACTGACACTTCATGTTAAAATTTTATCTAACACCGACACATATGGTTAGATTCAATTATTTTTGGTTGCAAATATTTTTACCGGTATCAACATATCACTATCGTGTTTGGTGTCCGTGATTGAGTCAGTGTTTCATAGGATGAAACAATAGTACATAAGCATATTGGTATAGTATAATACCCAATATTGATTGCGGTCTCCATTTTATCCCCAGTCAAAACCCAAATCTTAATTCCTGCTTGGGCAAGCTTGTCAATACAATCAGGAACCTTGCAAAGAAATACAATAGTTTCTGTTACCAGTCTCATTTCAATAAATAATATTCACAAGTAAAACACGCTTTTTAATTCTAACTCACCCCATTTTGGAGCTTGTCCTCTACAGCAGTAGCACCAAGAAGGATTAGGTTCTTCTCCATATTATCCGAAACTTCTTCAATCAATGTTTCCCGATCTGCACTAACCAAATTCTTGGCCTCCGAGAATTTATTATGAAACTCCATGTATTCTTCTGCTTCAAGTTCACGATAGGCAAGTATAAGGGTTCGGAGACCTGCATCAGCATATTCGTGCACATGTTCCATGGTTTCCTCTTCAAACTCCCTCCCATTCTTGGCAAGTCTTTCAAACATGACACTGCATGAAATATCACTTCAGGCTGGTCAATAAGTGAAACACAAAGGACAGAGATAAGCATTCAAATTGTTTAAGGTTACATATTAATTTATCACAAACCTGTCGGCGCCTTTGCAGAGTAGTAGAATTTTTCCTTCATCGTCTTTTACTATTACCGACATTCTCTTCCTTGAGCTATTGAATTCTAACACATTGAGAATCTTGTACACCCTGCAAGTTGAAACTAGTTACTGAAAAATATGTATCGCTGAGATAGAAAATCTCAAAATATAATGGATATAATATAGCACTTTAGAAGTATACGCTTTAATTAGCATGTAATAAATGAAAACATTAAATTTCAAACAGCAAATTTTGCATTAAATAAATAAGGCACGAAAACAATTGAACCCTTTTTTTTTTCAAAACATAGAATTTCAAACAACACCTTTCAATTTTCTTGCCAGAAACTGGATCCAACTCGTATGTCGATAAACTAGTCTGAGCCCTTTTGTAGAATTCAAAACCAAGTTCTCTTGCCGCAATAACAAATGCAGCTTCATCCGGAGATTCAGCCTCGTACAACACATTTCCGGTTTCTTTATCTACTTCTGGTAAGGCTGTATGACAGACTGCTAAAAGGCGAAAAAACTTCTGGATGATATCTGCGCGAGGCTCATTTACCCAATGTCCATTCATTATTCTTTCATCAGTAAAGTTAAAACCATTTATGACTTCTTTATTATCAAGAGAATCACTGATGCCATTGTCCGATACATCACGCTCACGAACTAACGTTGAACCTTTTCTTCTACTCATTGTCTTCTCAACCTCTGTAACACCACGACCATAAGCTACACCAGCGATCGAACATTTGATGAATTCCATGGAGTTGCAGGTCAAAGTTCCAGTTTTATCGGAAAGTATCGTGTCAACTTGACCAAGCTCCTCGTTCAGGTTTGAAGTGCGAGCATGTGCCGGTTTGTCTGCTTCTTTGTAGTACATATGGATGTCTTGATTGATGAAAATACTCTGAAGGACTTTGACAATTTCTATTGACACATACAATGAGATTGGAATAAAGAAGCCGTATAACATTAAGGCTGTCAAACAATGACATGCAGCAGCCGCAGCCGGTCTTTCCGGATCAAAGAATTTTGTAGAATTATCAGGCCTTAAATACCATCTTTTCACCACCCCTTTTTGCAAGTCGTCTTTAGTTATAAAGCCAAAGAAAATAGATCCTACGGATGCCATTAGAAACAAAATACAAAACAAGAAGTAGATGACTTTATCCATTTTCTTCTCAACGCGGCTTCTCTTCGAAGGTGGATCAGTAGAATTCTGAATAACCTTAGTGTCATGACCGGTGAAAATGATAGCTCCAAAAATATATTCTGTATTACGAAGCTTAGAGCCTCGCAAAAGAAGTTGCTGAGGAGAAAGGGCATATTTTTGCACTCCAAACTCCATACTCCCTACAAACGAGTATAAATTTGCATTTGGATCTTCACATTTGACAGTGGCTTTAAAATTTTTGAAGCTGAGATTGTCATGTAACGAAGAAGTTGCCTCTAAACCTTGTTTTAACTTCAAATTTGTCTCGCCATCCAAGTTCATCGTCTCCACGTAGCAGACTGCATCCTCATAACTCGATGAAAGCAATACAATATCTGCTGGGAAAAACTCATCTTTCTCTACCTTCACTATATTCCCTACCCTCAGATTCTTCCATGCAGTATATTCAAAAATTCCATCAACTTTATGAACTTTAACTCTTCTATTGTTCACCTCGATATCCTGCCAAAGAATCTGATACGTCAGAGATGAAATTAAAATGAAATTGAAGGGACTAAAACCATATTAGCCCCGTATTACAAAGACTAAAAGCGCTATTAACCCGTTATTTTATCATATGCGGCAGGCACACTTAGGAAATATAACTTTAAAAATAATAATTTAGATTTTCATTTAATACAAGAAAATCATTGGCTCCCTCAAGTTTTTTAGGGGTTACCACTAGAATTTTACCCTATAAAGTGCACCCTGCAATTTAGCAGATTCAAATCATTTAGCATATTCTGGATATGGAATCATATGAACAAACAATTAAGTAATTGCACTTCATCCTTTCGAAACAATACCAAGAAACTAAACAGAAAAACTACAATATTCCATTAACTTCCTGCCACAATTTTTTCACTTGGTAAAGTACTTCACGGCCTTGTAAGAATACCACAATTTTTTCAAATATATAACTATTTAAACTTTTTAAGTCATTAAATTTTGATTGACTTATTTGAGCTTATCTACTAACATGTCTTTAACCGCTTGCGAGACTGTTTGGGATAGGTTATGGAAACAGTTTATGAAATGCCCATAAACTATTTTCAGCTTATTTTAATACCTTATATAAAAATAGTTTGACTTAATTTAATCTTTTGTTAAAAAAACAGCTTATATACATAATCACTTATTGATAAGTGCTTATGGTAAAAGTGAGTGATTAAGTTGTTTATCCAAATAGAGTCTAAATACTTCATCTCCCATTCTCCCTTATATTATATTTACACCAAGTTAAAAGATGAATTTACAAGTACACAGAATATATTCTGATTCTATGGAATCTTCACACTTGTACTGCAGGGTAAAAAAGTGGTATAGTTAGAATATAGTACCTGCTTTTTCCTACGCCAATCTTCAATACCTTCTTTCACAATAGTTGCCCCAATAACAACAGCAAGAGGAAAAATAGCAGTACCAACTTTATAAGGAGCAAGTTTAGAGAAAGCCAAAACACCAGTAACCAAAAAATAGAAATTAGCCACTCTCCTAAACTGTTCAAAAAGTGATTTTGGAAGAAAAGTAGCAACGGTATATTTTGTAGATCTGACAGAATTATCTGCAAAATTCTTAATCACAGCTTCCTCATCATTAGTACTGTTCTGTTCATTGCATAACACCACCCTCGAATAGCCTCTACTTCCAATTTGTGAATGATCTCCGTCATCACCCGAACTCGCTTTGAAACATGTGAATGAATAGATCTTGCTTAAATGTAGCTTCCGGTTTTTGCCACCCCCCATTCCTTTTATTTTCAAGGAGACGAAAATTCAATAATCAAGTAAAATCTCCAACACTGTCATAAATACAACAATAGAGAAACTGACAACAACCGAACCCAACCCAACCCAGCCCAACCTACACTACACCAAAATCACTCTGACAACAATGATTGAACCCTCGTTAAAACAAACTCAACTCTGATAATGAGGACAATGATTCTACGGAGACTGACTTATTGGGTGGTGAAATGATTGCTCTCTTATTCCAATTGTCACTGCCAAACTAGTACTACTAGCAAAAAAATGGAAACTTTCCTTAAAACCCAATTTCCAAAGCAAGGTGAAACTGACAAGAATAATATCCGAAAATGCTAAGCTTCTTCAAAAGCAAAAGAACAAGAAAAAAATACTACCCCCAACAACTACACAATAACACAAACACCTCATAGGCAAAACGTCATAACCCCCAATCCAAACCAATAACATAAATAAACAAATCAATAGATTCTAAACCCCAGAAAATTCCAACCAGAAAAGCTCAAAAAACCCATAACTTAAAATAAATGAAAAAATGAAAAATGAAAAATAAAAAACCACCAAGTTCGATAGACACAACTAAGAACCGGATTGGGCCTGCAATAATTACTACTACACTGTAGTAAACAACAAGAAATTGTAAAACTAGAATGAAAAAATCTAGAAAGTGTCGGTGACAGAAAATTCTAGAAGGAATAAAAACTCTAAAGATTGGAATGATGACTGTACAGTAACAACAAGAAGAATGTTTGAACAACGAGTTCTATAATAATTAGATCTCCCAACTGAATTGACTTAATAGAACTCGCTCGTTATGATTATGAAAAAAAAGACAATCATTTCACTTTCACAACAAAGACAATTCAAATTCAGCTCTATTTTTTCCCGAGAAACTTTTAAATAAAAATTAAATAAATAATCACTTTTTTTCCCGGGAAAATAAAGTGACAAAATGCTAACACAGATTTCCACATAAAATCAAAGGTTTTTTTACTTTTTCTTTTTTTCTAACTTTATTTTAGCGGGAAAAGCTGTGAATGAATGAATGAATGTGAAGCTTGTTGTCAATGGTGGTCACTCTCAATTTTTGTTTTCTCTTTATTCAAAAATAAAATAAAGATTGTTTTTATTTTCTCTTTAATAAAGAAAATGAAACATTGTTGTGAATTTACATACCTTTCAGTTCAATTTTTGAAGCACGGAAACAGAGAGACAGAGAACACGTGTGCAGAGAGAGAACGATGTTTTTTTTTTACTAGTAGTTGAGTCAGTGTCTTGACGAACAAGAACATGTTCATGAGGTGTGGTTTGTTTACTATGAATGAAAAATTAATTTTATTTAAGAAAATAAACTGTTCATGTACTACATATTTTAATTAAAACATTTATTTTGAAATATTAAATATTATTTCTCATTAACAAAAGAAATTTATTTCTTAGTAGTAATTTATTCGAATCGCAACAATATTTTTAAAAAAAATTTAACACTATATATATGTAGGTGTATATTATTGAGTTCGAATTTAAAATCTATCATTTTATTGAAAGAAAACTCATATGATTCATATTTCATGATTTTTTTTTATGTATCTTTATATATACTGTTTTTAGTTTTTTTTTTATTACTAATATGTTACGAAGTTATTAGTATTAAATTTTCTTAATTCATTGTATCATTTGCCTTTCTTATTGTTTAGTGAATAGTTTGACTATGTAGTTAAGAATTAAATAAATTTTTGGTTTTTACATATTATAAATTTTTTTACTATAAAATTGTAAATTTTGATTTTAGTTCAAGTGAAAAAAAAAAAAGGAATTTCTTTTATTATCTAATGATCTTTTTTTTAGGTCTCTAATAAAAAAATTTAAATATCCTCAGACTTCGCATCGCATGTGCAAATGAAATGTGTTGTATTGTATAATAATATGTGATTTTGCATGTGTATCTACGAATTAACACCTAATTTATTAAAAACATGATGACTTCGCACGTGTATCTACAAAGTTATCCATAATTTCTCCTTTCACATGTGCACATGCGAAGTCTTTGAATTGTATTGAACTAAACGAACAGAACAGACCCCTCAAACCCTTTTATATTCAAACACCAAAACTTCTCATTTTCTTCTCTAAACTCTAACATTTCTACTATCCAAACTCACTCATTTTTGCTCATCTCTCTATTTCTACTCTTTTCAAGTCATCCCAAATCATCTTCAAGCTTTCAAATTTATGTAAGTTTTCTCCAAATTAATTTGATTCACAATGCAATCTTGTAATTGTTTATTAGGTTAGTTTATAAAAATTACATGGTGTATGTTGGTGTTAGAATAGTTTAATGTAGTTGCTTGGGTGACAAAAAATGATATTTAGGTGTTTTAGGGCAAGAAGCAAAAACTTTGAAAATGGTTGTGCGCATGGGGTTTTGCATGTGCACTTACGAAGTCACCCTGGACCAGTTTCGCATGTGCACATGCAAATTCTTGCCTGAATTATTTTATTTTTAAAACCTAACAATTATAATTATTTATTTTAGGAACATGGCTGACAACCAGGACCCGAGCAGGCAGTTGAGACAAGGCAGGTCAAGCCAGGCTGCCTCGGCTCGTTGAGAGAGAGCTAAGCAGCAGGTTAACCGGTCTCGAGGATGGGGTCGGGCACAAAGAGAGCAATTGGATATAGTTTCCCATTCTGCACTAAGGAGTTGTCTGCATCAGGCATGTACCTCTCGTGCGCATGAGCAGGTACTTTATGAGGCAGAGGTTCAAGAAGAGTTTGCGGTGCCTGAGGGGGATGAGGTACTCGAGCATGTTGCGGTACTTGAGGAGGCGGAACAAGACTATCTAGGAGGGTCATATGACACGTCCCTCTTGATTTACTATCATGATCATAGCGTTCAAAAATGTTTGGGAAGGAGAGGTATATTTTTTGTTGCACTTTTCATTTTATATTTTTTACTCAAAAATACGATTGTAACGATTATTACTTTTTTTCAGGAACGATTGCCTATAAAGCATGTGAATCACTCGCGGATTTTTTTGAATTGTTTATACCTGCGATTGAGTGGTTCTATGATGTTGTGGTTGGATCCACCTACCTATCAGAGGCATGTTACTTAACCATCACAAGATAACACGAGCTAAGGCGGTTGAATGGATGGTTGAGTGTTTAGGAGTTGATCCGTTCAGGGCATTTGAGGACTACAGAGCCACTAATGGGGCGCATGTAAAATTCTCCCACCTGAAGGATCTATATGAGGAGCACCTGGTTGCAGCAGCAGGTGCCCAGGATGGGGAGGACGAGGTTTTTGTTCAGTATCACTGAGACTGTGCTATACGGTGTTACTATATGTTCTTGATTGGCACATCCTTCTTTGTGGATAAAAGTGGGACCTATATGGATGTGACATACCTCTGGTATTTTATGAACCTGACTACAGCTCGTGAGTGGAACTGAGGGGCCGCTATTTTGGTATACATCTACCAGAAGCTGAACGAAGCTTCAAATAGGAGGACGAGACAGCTCATTGGCTCATGCACACTTCTCGAGGTACCTTTCAGTTCAATTATTAACTTTAATTTGTTTTGATTAATTTGTACTTACACATTATGTTATTGTTTTTGTAGAGCTGGATCATCTTTCACTTCCACCGGATTCATAGTTTTGAACCAGATTCGGTTTATACTGACGACATGTCAAGGGATGCAAAGTATGTCCTCCATAGAGGGAATCATAAAGTGTCGCCTTACCGGGTGTATCTTGGTCGTACTAATCATGATGACATCAAATAGACGCCATTTGAGGATTACAAGAATGTTGTTCCATTCGATTATATCTCATTATACTCTGGGTGGCTAGCATGTGGGCCGAATCTTATGGTCAGATATCTTTCGGAGAGGTGTATCTGACGGTTTGGCTATGTACTGATGATACCGAAATCTCCTTTTCAAGTTGCTTCCGACACCATTGTCCGTCGGGATCTCGATGCCATCTTTCGGGATTAGGAGAATCATTTGGTGCCACAAGAGTATCAGATGATGCCGACATCTGAGTTGACATTGTGTAGAGGGTTACGTGACATGGTTTTTTAACGTGTCACACTCTATCATGACACCTGATGGTCCTGGACGTCCGCATAGGTCAACTCATAAGGAGATCTTGGAGAACCAGCAGGCTGAGGATGACCATGTCACTGATCTCTTGTCGGTCTGTCAACAGATACACATACTTGACCATGAGGCATTGGATTCTGGTATCATCGAGAGGGTTGGTCCTAAGGCGGTTGCCATAGTTGGGAGGATGGTCAGTGAGGCATCTAGTGCGGCTCAGTACAGTCGACAGAGGAGGTCACAGGGGGTCAGGATCAGGCATATGCATTAGCCTATGTAATGTTTGGTTTTTTGTTGTTGGTGTAATATTTTAACCGTACTTACTTTTCAAACAATTTATGTCTGAACATTTAATTTAATCGTTGTCTATAATGTTATGCTCGTTTTATATTTTCAAAAAAGCCGTAAAAAATTTGTCCGATTATAAAATAGTGGAATGATATAATTTTAAACAAAAATGACACAAACAGATGAAATTTTGCATATGCACATCTGAAACATTTTTCTCAGCATGTTTCGCATGTGCACATGCGAAACAACCTCTAAACATGCTAAAAAATGATTTTTTTTTTCACATGTGCACATACGAAACATGCTGAGAGGTGACTTCGCATGTGCACTTGTGAAAGACATTTTCGAGTTTTCAATGATGAAAATCACCTCTACTAAGTATAAAGAGAAATTATCAAAAAAAATTGAGAGTTGGTCTTATAAATTTTTTCTTTTATTATTTTTAAATTATACTATTTGATTTTTTTTTATATTTTAATTTAATAAAAAAACTTTCATTCAAATTAAAAATAATGACAGAAAACTAATAAAAATGAAAACTTTTATAAAAAGTTCATGGAAATTAAAAACAAAATTTAAGATAAT